TGACTATGCTATGTCACATCACTGCTTTCTGTTGCCGTGGAGTCGATTCCAACGCACGATGGCCTGTGTTTGTCACAGTGAGACTTTTCTACAGGCTATTCTAGGCTGTGGCCTTAAGGATGCACATTATCAGGTCTGTCTTTTGCATTGTTTTGGGTGGCTTTGAACCACCAATCTTAGGGCTAATAGTCAAATGCTAAACTATTTGCAGCACCAAGGGTTCAGTGTACAACAACACATTGTTGGCTACCCTTTGTCAGTACCTTTTAGCAAAATCCTCAGCTACTTGATTGCTGATCTTTCTTTTATGTGGTGTTTCCAACCCCTACTTCTTCTATTACTGACCCCATCCATGTTTCATTACTTAAATCCTGCACTGTCATTATCTCTTCAGGTGTGTATTATTCCCCAGATGACTAATTGCATTTTAAATAGAAACTCAATATTCCCAAGCCTCACAAACAAAAAGCAGTGAATCTATAATGATAAGAATTTTAGCTGTTCTGACAGGCAGGAAGAAAGGTATTGCCCAGCACATTTTACATAACAGAGGCATCAGTTCTCATATCACGATGTCTTCCCTTTAAAATTTTCTCTGTAAGCAAAGTTGAAGAGAGAGAAGGGGAAAAAAAAGCAGTTGCCCTCTGGTTGATTCTTAACCAAAATAGCTGGTTTCAAATAATACCTTTGTCTTTTAGCAGCTGTAGAACCTTGGGCAGGTGATTTAATCTTTGTAAGTTATAAGAGCATTTATATCATACAATTATAGTAAGATTAAATGAAATACTGCATGGAAATTAGTTGGAACTATTCCCAGCATAAAATATTCTCTGTGAAAAATACTGAATAGTGCAGGAAGCATCAGAAGATGTTGGAAAGAATACACAGAATCACTGTAACAAAAACACTAGTAGACTTTCAACTATTCAAGATGTAGCATATGATCAAGAACCAAGGGTATTGAAGGAAGAAGTGCAACTCATCCAATGGCAGTTACAGCAGTATACTGACAGGGAACTACCAGAGATCCAGGCCAGATTCAGAAGACAATATGGAACAAAGGATATCATTGCCGATGTTAGATGGACCTTGTCTGAAAGCAGAGACTCCCAGAAAGATGTTTACTTGTGGTTTATTGACATGCAAAGCCATTTTACTGGGTGAGTCATAACAAACTATGGAGAGCCTTGAATAGAATAAGAATTATAGAACACTTCATTGTGCTCTTGGGGAACATGGATCAAAAGGAGCTGTGAGAACAAAATAAGGGAACACTACATGGTTTAAAAACAAGAAAGGTGGGCATGAGGGCTGTATTCTCTCACCATACATATTCAATCTATATGCTGAGCAAATAAGAGAAGCCGGATTATATGAAGAAGAATGAAGGATCAGGACTGGAAGAAAGATTTATTAAAAGCCTATGATATCCAGATGCCACATCCTTGCTTGCTTCAAGTCCTTTTCAATAAAAACCAAGGACTGCAGCTTTCAGTATGAATTATAACCTAATGTAAAGAAACCAAAACCCAAACTGAACCAACAGGTAACAGCATGATAAATGAAGAAAAGATCGAAGTTGTCCAGTATTACATCTTGCTTGGATTCTCAATAAATGTTTATGGAAGCAGCAGTCACATTGAATTGGGCAAATCTGCTGCATAAGACTTCTTTAAAGTGTTAAAAAGCAAAGAAGTTACTTTGAAGACTAAGGGGTCAAGCCAAGGTGTTTTGATTGCCTCATATGCATGTGAAAGATGGACAATATAAGAAAGACCAAAAATGATTTGACGCATTTGAATTATGTAGCTTGCAAAGCATACTGAAAGTCCTGAGAACTGCCAAAAGAACAAATACATCTATCTTGAAAGAAGTACAGCCAGAATGCTCCTTAGAGGCAAGGAAGGCAAGACTTCGTCTCACATACTTAAGACATGTTCTCAAGAGACCTGGGAAAGGATATCATGTTGATAAAGTAGAGAGTCAGCAAAAAAGGGAAGATTTTTGACGAGAGAGATTAACACAGGGGTTTCAACAATGGGCTCAAACATAGAACAATTGTGAGTATAGCAATGTTTTGTTCTGTTATACATAGGATTGCTATGACGGAACCCACTCTATGGCCCCTAACAACAATAACAGTAATTCCTGGTACATAGTACTTGGTGAAAGTAGTGACATTATCATATTTTATCTAGTGCAACACAATGCCATGTAAAAATTTTTCCTTTGGATATAGAAACAGCTTCTGTAAATAATGAGTTTAAATAATGGCTCCTATGATATAGTTATTTGACAATAAATATTGGTTCTGTGCACACAGAAATACATTGTTTTATTGAAGTTTTACATTTAATTACTGTTCGATTAGTCTTTAATAAATGTAAAGATTCCTTTCTTAAAAAATAATATTATTTTGGATGAAGGTGATATGGAAAATAAAAAGCTATACTGTAATAAAGGAATACATCCAAGTATTTGATACAGTAAAGAACCCTTGTATGAAGTATTCAGTCTGCGTGATATACTAAATCTATAAATAGTTTCAAATTATTTGTTAAGTAAAAACACCCCAACACAAATAAGTATCAAAAACAGAGGGGGGAAACCCCCCCCAGGACCATAATGTTTAGCTGAATAACTTTGAGGTGAATTTGCTTGTGATCTAACACATTTGGATAACAGTATTTTCTAGTTAGAAATCATAAATGATATCTCCTTTAAAAAGTGACTTTAAAATCCTATTTTGCAATATTCTTTTCAGGTAATTTATCCATCTAACCTTTTAAATGAAATAGTTATGATACATATTTCATATAGCTGCAGGACACTATTTTGTTAACAGAAGATTATATGAAAACATGATAATATGCTTGACAAAAGCTTTTCTGCAGATTTCTAATAAACGGGTCAAGCTTTTCAGTAAGCATGTGCCACTGGTTTCCCTTTCAAAACTACTGCAAGCATTTCATTATTATGCTTTCCAAGTTTGGCCACAATTTCAAACACAACAATTAAAATGTTATCTCAATTATTGTTATGTTTGTAAAGGTTACAAATGATATACCTTTGTTTTATTTGTCTTGGTCTTCTACTGTAGTTAGAGTGTATGAGAAATAATGTCTTTTAAATTTTACAGGGCTATACAGGTAAAGTTCAGCATCCCATCACTCAAAATTCTATGTACATGAATGTAGAAAAGAAGAGTCTTGACCCATTTTGTTTGGAGACTCTTGGAGAAAATAGCCTTTTTTGTTGTTTCTCAGTTTCTCTATTTGTTCTCAGAAATTATCACCAATATATCTGTTTTTAAAACTTCCTCCCACAAAACTTTTATAAAATTTACTAAATATTCAGTGCAGAAATAAAAAAGTTGGAATTTTCCCTTTCCAGAGAAATTCACTACTAACAATTTATTGGGCATCTACCCAAACTTTTAACATTTTCAAAGGAGAGAGGCTTCATGGAAAAATGGACTTATGGACTTAAAAGCTAATGAAAATTCCCCATAATTATTATTACTATTTTAATAAACTTGTTTGTCACTAAAGACGCCAAGTCCATTAAAGTTTTACGTTTCTTCCTTTTTTTAAAAGCCATTCTGACAACTCTATAGGTTTGAGGGCTAAGGAATCTGGAGGGATTTTTGTTTGTTTTTATTTCTATAGGGTACATGCCCAGTAGAGAGAGATTGTGGGGCCATAAAGTACTTATACTTGCATTTGTTAAGGAAGTACTATACTGATTTCCATAAGGGTTGTATAATTCTACAGTCCCACAAGCAATGTAAAACTGTTCTGATGTCTTCAAATCCTCTCCATCATTTATTATTTTCTGTTTTACTGAATTTTGCTCAAAGTGTCAGTGTGAGCTGGTATCTCATTGTTGTTTTAATTTGCATTTCTCTTATTGGTAACTAACGTGAACATTTCTTCATATGGCTGGAAGCCTAGATGCCATCTTTGGTAAATTGTCTATTCATGCCTTTTACCAAATTGTTGATTGGGTTATTTGTATTTATCTTAAGTTTTTGGAGATTAGCCTTTGATTTGCTGTACTATTACTGAATGCTTTTTCCAAATATGGGGTTCTCTGTTGACTCTTCATGAAGTCTTTTGATGTGCAGAAAAGTTGTATTTCCAGTAGGTCCCAGTTTTTTTGTTTTTAATTTTGTCTTCTATAGTGTTGATATTTTTCCCTATGTTCTGTAGTGTGTTTATGCCTTGTATTAGGGTCTTTAAGTTTGTCTCTATTTTTCTGTTGATGGTCTTTATAATTGTGTGCTTATATTTAGGTCTCTGGTCGATCTTGAGTTCATTTTTTGTAATATGAGGTATGGGCCCTGTTTTATTTTTCTGTAGGTGAAGATCCAGTTTTTCCAGGACCATTAGTTGGAAAGGCTATCTCTTTCTCATTTAATGTGCTTCCTCATTTAATGTCCTTTATCAAAGATTAAGTACTTGGTTGTATTTTGGGGTCTACAATTCTGCAATTCTAATCCACTAGTCTTCTTATCTATTGTAGTAACAGAAACAGGCTGTTTTGATCACAATGGTAATATAATTGTTTTAAAACTCAGGAAGTAAAAGGCCTTCTACATTGTTTTTATAGTGTTTAATTTATCCTGGGTTTCTTTTGTTTCCATATAAAGTTGGCGATTAGTTTTTCCATTCCTTTGATGAATTACGGTGGGATTTGGATCAGAATTGCATTGAATTTGTAAAGTGTTTTTGATAATATTGACATTTTCAAAATGTTTACTCTGCCTATTCAGGAATATGGTAGCTTGTTCCATTTGTGTTTTTCTTTTGATTTATTGAAGGGGTGTTTTGTAGTTTTCCATGTATAAGGATTTCATAGTAACACTTATTCCTAAATATTTTATCTTTTGTGTACTTGTTGTAAATGGTATTATTCTTTAATATCTTTCTTGTTATTATCTTTAATATTCAGGAATCCAAATTATTTATGTATGTTGATCTTATATCCTGCTATGCTGCCAAGTTTTTCAATTAGTTTAAGCAATTTTGGGGTTTCTTATACATCGGATTGTTATTATTTTTAAATAGTTTTATTTCTTTTTGATGTCTTGTGGCTCTTGCAAAAACTTCCAAATGCACATTAAATCAAAGTAGTGATAAAGAGTAACTTTGTCTATTTCTCATCTTTCATTTCTCTCCATTAAGTGAGGTGAAGGCCGTTTGTTTTGGGTATATGTATTTTATTATATTTAGAAATTCTCCTTCCTTATCTATTTTATTGAGTGTTTTTACCAGGATTGGATGTTGAATTTTATGTAAAATCTTTTAGTATTGATTGATATAATTGACATAATCACCACTTTAAGTGGTGAATTACATTGGTGTTTTTCTGATATCAACCCATCCTAGGTATGAATTCCACTTTATTGTGACGTTTTATTTTTTGGATACTTGGTTGAATTCTGTTCACTAGGATTTTATTGAAGATCTTGATATCTATATTCATAGAGATATTGGTCTGTAATTTTCAATTCTGGTGATGTCTTTACCTGGTTTTGGTTTCAGCATTATAGTTGCTTCATAAAATGAGTTTTGTAGTATATTGTTCACTTCAATATTGTGGAATAGTGTATATAAAACTGGTTTTAAATCTCAAAATGTTTGATAGAATTCCCCAACAAATCTATCTAGACCCAAACTTTTCGAGAGTTTTTTTATGACTAGATCTATTTTGTCTTGTCTTATAGGCTTGCTGGGATTTTCTACATTATTCTGTGGTAATGTAGATAAATAATGCATTTATTTAAATTTATCAATTTCTTCAAGATTTTCAAATTTGTTGGAGTACAATTTTCATAATTTATTGTGATTTATAAAGGTCTAGATAAAGACATGTACATATGCAAATATATTTATATGAGGACGGGGAAATAGATCTATGAGCCTACATTTATAGGTTTAGTATTAAGGTAGCAGAAGGACATTGGGCCTCCACTCAAGTACTCCCTCAACACAAGAATACTTTCTTCTATTAAATTGCATTCTATGATGCTCACCTTCCTGACACAACCGCTGAGGACATAGAGGGTGAATTAACAAATGTGGTGAAGAAAGCTGATGGTGCCGGCTATCAAAAGATATAGCGTCTGGGGTCTTAAAAGCTTGAAGGTAAACAAGCGGCCATCTAGTTCAGAAGCAACAAAGCCCACATGGAACAACATCTCAGCCTGTGTGATCACAAGGTGGCGAACGGATCACTGAAGGCAAATGGGTGCATAAGCAAATGTGGCGAAGAAAGCTGATGGTGTCCGGCTATCAAAAAGCATAGCGTCTGGGGTCTTAAAGGCTTGAAGGTAATCAAGTGGCCATCAAGCTCAGAAGCAACAAAGCCCACATGGAAGAAGCACACCAGCCTATGCAACCACGAGGTGTCGAAGGAATCAGGTATAAGGCATCATCAGAACAAAAAATCTTACCATAGTGAATGATGGGGGGAGTGCGGAGTGGAGACCCAAAGCCCATTAGTAGGCCACTGGAGATCCCCTTCTAGAGGGGTCTCGGGGAGGAGATGAGCCAGTCAGGGTGCGATGTAACAACGATGAAAAATACAACTTTCCTCTAGTTCATAAATGTTTCCTCCCCGCTCCCACTATCATGATATGAATTCTACCTTGCAAGTCTGGCTAGACTAGAGGATGTACACTGGTACAGATAGGAACTGGAAATACAGGGAATCCAGGGCGGATGAGCCCTACAGGACCAGCAGTGTGAGTGGCGATACTGGGAGGGTAGAGGGTGAGTGGGTTGGAAAGAAGGAACCGATTATAAGGAACTATATGTGACCTCCTCCCTGGGGGACAGACAACTGAAAAGTGGGTGAAGGGAGATGTCGGACAGGGCAAGATATGACAAAATAATAATTTATAAATTATCAAGGGCTTATGAGGGAGGGGGGAGGGGGGAGGGAGGGGAAAAATGAGGACCTAATGCCGGGGGCTTAAGTGGAGAGGAAATGTTTTGAGAATGATGAAGGCAATAATGTACAAATGCGCTTTACACAATTGATGCATGTATGGATTGTGATAAGAGTTGTATGAGCCCCTAATAAAATGATTAAAGCTTTTCGTGCTTTCTCTGCCTTTGTCTCCTAGGAATAATGGAATCTAAAGAGAAACATGTGGGAAAGAATCCCAACGTGGAAAATGCCCACCAGGAAAAGGACAGAAAGGAGCAAGATAGTAATAAAGGAGAGGCCTTGGCACTCCCTTTGGTAGCCGGTGAATACTGTGTGCCTAGAGGAAGTTGCAGGGGACCCCGAGTCAGACAGCCCATCTTACAGTGTAGATGTGACATGATTCAGAGGCTTGGAGAGCCCTAGGCAAGGATGAGGGAGGAGAATGTAAGCAGGATTGGGGTGGAGGTGAGATTGCTGATAGAAAACCTGAGGGGAAAGCAATGGAGTCACAGTCTTCGTGCAGTGAGCACTAACCCTCCTAACGCTGACAACCATGTTGACTTTTGCCTTATACCCTGAATCCTGATGTGTGCCCTGGAATTAATAGGGAGACCCCTGCTTCCTCAACTTACATGTGTGAGCGGTACCTTTATTGTAAACCTTTTGATATGACCTCTTTATGGGTCCTCTATTACCAGCTTTTAACTGAATGTTGTGTTTTTGACCAAGTCTTTGTAAGTTTCCATCAGAAGGGGAGTTTTATCTCTTGCCTAGGAACATGCTCATTATATATTTTAAAGTTAATAAAGCAGTTTAAAACAAACAACAAAAAAAGAACACATGTTGATACACAGATTAATCTCAAAATTAATATACTGAGTGAAAAATGTGAGACACAAAGCAGCACAATATTGTATGCATTTATGTAAAATTATCAGAATAAGCAAAACTAGAGAGAAATTATATTAGTAGTTGCCTAGGATCAGCAGGAGTAGGGAGGGCAGGATTGATGGGAGGACTGGGAGTAATGGCTAAGGAGAGTTGGGTTTCTTCTTAGGGTAATTATAATAGTTTAAAATTGATTGGTGATTCCATAGTATGTAAATTGTATCTCAGTAAAGCTCTAAATTACAAAAAGGAAAAAGAAAGAAATTGTAGAAAAATTTAAATAACCAACCAATCATAGGAAATAGTTGTCTGTAAGTGACAACATATAATTGCACGGATCACATACCACTTCTCTGAATAGTCTAATACCTAATATATATAGTATGTAGTCATTTAAGAAAGGTTTTTGTTTATCTTCAAAGAACATGAAATCAGTTTTGTTTTTCAATACACTATCAACCTGACAAAGTTGAATGTTAATGTGCAGTGTGCATCTGTCTGATTTCTCATTAAGAAAGGTATCTGATGGATCATTTAACTTGAGTTTGATTTTCTCCCTGATTGGTCTTATAGCTTGTGTGTCCACGTTAGTCATTATTATCTCCAGTGAGTTCTACTCATCTAGACTGTCATTAAATCTATTATCTTATTTCTCTAATTTCATTATCACTTTAAGCTTACATGGAATGGAAAGAGCTTTAATTTGGGGATATGTCTAAGATTTTCCATAAAGTTTAAGAAAGGCAGTTTTTGATGTAAAAGAAAAAGAATAAAAAAGAAATAGAAATAAAATTAGGAATCATCTAATAAAACAAAATTTTTTTGAATTGTTACTTATGTACCAATGCTGCCAGCTGATGGTAAATGTAGAATCTTCAGTAGACAACATAACAAAATAAAACTTCCATGTGAGTCATAGGTCCCTAAACTTATTTGGCCTACCATCCCCTTTTCAGACCAATAAATACTCAGAGCCCCCGGCAATGAAAACTTTTGTTCTATAATCATAATCCAGTATAAATATAAGTATTTGTTTTTGCAGCCCTGTTGGACCATTCCAGTGGCCCTCAGGGGCTAGTATTGCCCACTTTGGCAGGCACTGATTTAGATGAATGAGATGTCAAATGAGATAATAAGATTGATATTAAGGAGACTTGGCGTAGTGGGATATACATTGGGTCAACAGTTGCTTCTCAGGAGAAAGATAAGACTTTCTACTCCCTTAAAGAGTTATAGCCTTGTAAACTTACAGGAGCTATGTCCTATAGGGTCACTAGGAGTTACTGACTTGATCACAGTGAATGAGAAGCTTGATATTAAAAGTAAAGTTCACTTGATCTCTGTACAAAAGTAATCTATATATTCCTTAGATAATATCCAGGTTATGAGATTCACTGGAGAAACAGTAAATGTTTCTTGAATGAAACATGGATCTTTTGTAGAGCAAGGTCCATTAAAAGGGAAAATTTAATGTGCAAGGTTTCTGTCAAGTAAAGGATAAAAAAAGTGTCATATTTCAATTTATCTATATCCAAAAGTGTTTCTTATATTGGTCAATTTGGTGGTCATTGGAACATGTTCTTTATAGGTATTATATCATTTGTGTCTTTTATTTTTTTTAAAATGACAGGCTATTCAGATGTACCTATCCTGCCTAATTAAATGTACATACAGAAAAAAAAAGACTTATTTTCTCCCCCTCACTGCTGAGTCAATAGTGATACTACAGGGCAGGGTAGAATTGCCTCCACGAGTTTCAGAGACTGTAACTGCTTAGGGACTAGAAAGTCAGTCTTTCTCTCATAGAGAGTTTGTGGTTTCGAACTGTGATCCTTGAAAATCTCAGTCCTATAATAAGTCCACTATCTCAGTCCACTATGCAAACCAGGGTTCCTGAAAGACTCCTTACACAATTCTACTTTTTCTTATATGGACAGTATGATGCGCTTCAGTTAAGGTAGTCCATATTAAGAAGAGTCCTCAGAAGAGACATGATAGAAACATTCAGAGAGGCTATAGAATATACAAGGAGAGTTTCAGGAATAAATCATTCATAGGTATATATGGACTATCAAGTATCTACTGCATTTGTCAAGTAGAAATCACTGAGGCTGAATGAGCTATTCAGTAGATTGGGGTGGGTTGAAGCAGGTTAAGGATAATGTTGAGGAAATATAGTTCAGGAAGTTGTCCAGAATCACACAAAAAAGTGCTTTGTGTTGAAGGAGATGCACAAATATTTAAAGGAACTTGTAAGAGAAAGAGTGGAGTGAAATGTGGAAGATAAATAAGCCAGGATTACTGATGCTGCAAGATCCAGACTGGACAGGTGGTATTGGAAAGGAAAGGGTACAAGGAGAGATAGGGTACAAGGAGAGATAGATAACTCAAGGTGGAGACTGTTGCAGTAATTCAGGGTGAAGAGAGAGTAATTTGATTTAGGAGTAGAAAAGTCTGGAAATCACATTACAAAAGAAGTCTGTACTGCTTGTTGAAAGGAAAAAAATAATGGAACATTTTAGGCTAAAATGGTTGGAAAAAGATAATGACATGGCAGATTTGATGAGAAGGGAGGCATGATTAAGTCTGGTTTCATATGGTTCAAGTTTGAGCACTTTGTGCAATGTCTACAGGGGCCAGACAAAATAATTTATTTAAAGTTTGAATGAGAAATACTTATCTTAGAACTGTAGAGAACTGGGACATTCAAAACCGAAATGAATGATAGACTTCAAAAAATGGGCTCCTGCTAAATATGACATTTCTAGTGGATTTTTAGTAGTAATGATATTACAGAATCTAAATATCCAATAGCTGAAGATTAAGTAAATTCCAAAAAGTATTTGAAATTATTAATCATATTAAAACTAAAATTTACTTATACATAAAAGTGTAATTTTAAGTAAAATCTCATGAAACCTATGTACCTCAATACCTGTGAGACACAAGAACTAACTGCATTTAAGACTCAATTTTATCTTCTTCGAAAAAGTTTGACAATAAGCCTAGTTAAGATAATTATTTTAAAAAAGGACACTATCCCCTCAATGAAAATGCATTAAGATTTTAATGCATAAAATAAGATTAAACCTGTAATGTATACATAATCACCTATTAATTCCTTTACTAAGCAGAGGATACAATGCTTAATTAAAACTCTGCTAAAAGAAAAAGCAGATGCAATATAATTAGCCTTTCAATAAAATGGAAAAGTTTCTCCTTGTTAAGGTCTTAGTTTTGAGTGACCTCAAGTAATCCAGTTCAAGATTTAAGCTCAGCATGCTAAGTTACTTTTTACTATTAGTCAAAAGTGAGATACAATTTTCTCTTCTTGGGACAATGACCTTTTATAATTACCGTGTAATGGCATACTGCAACAGAATGAATTGTTTAATATGGTTCTTCTAGTTATAGCCTTATTTACTTCCACCAAATGATATTTATTTTTCTGATAGGTCTCGATAAGAAAATAAGGGAAGATACTGATTGGATTCAGCTGTGATAGATTGTGTAAAAGGATTGTGACTGTCATTTTGCTGGGTATAAAATCAGCCATCTCAGAAAGTGTGGGTGGAGGTGGTGATATTTTACTGCCAGCAAGAGAGAAGAATCAGAAGTGGAATGTGTCCTTTGGACCCCAATATCCTCAGATACAGACTGTCGTCAGGAGACAAAAATGAACTCAAGATGGATTTGAGTGCCAGATATAAATCTGAGAGTTATCAGGATCATCAAAGAGAAAATTGGGCCAAACTTAAGGACCATATTGTAGGGCATACACAGACTATCAAATATAATAAAGGAATCACACACAGTGAAAGACAAAATAGATGACTGTGACCTATTAAAAATAAAACCCTACCACATGGAAGAAGCACACCAGCTTATGTGATCATGAGGTGTTGATGGGAAGAGGTATCAGAAGTTTAAAAACATGCAACCAAAATGATATGAAGGGGAGTGAATGCAGTGAATGTAGTGGAGACCCAAAGTCCGCCAGCAAGACAACTGGACAGGCCCTCTTGGAAAGGCCTTATGGAACGAAGGATAAATCCAGGTGTGGTACTGATGAACCAGATAACTATCCTCTAGTTCTTTAAGATTTCCTCCCCTTACTATTAAGGCCCTTATGTGATATACTGTACTTCATTAATCATGTTAGATTTGCATTTGTACCTTCAAGATTGCTTGGTACATGGTAGTAAAGATAGATGACCCCTGGGAGATAGTGACAGGAGTAAGGGTTTCATAAGTGTACAGGAAGTGAGGTCAGGGGAGTGGGGAGAGGGGCAATGATAGCATTGAAGATTGTATAACCCCACCTGATGGGATTGAACAATAGAACTGTATGGGAAGAGAAGTGATATATTGGAATGAGTAATATATGTCAATAAACATATTATTTGATTAAAAGAAAATAAAACCCTAATGTACATCAGAAGACTTCATGAAAAGAGTAAAGTGAAAGTCACAAACTGAGAAAAAGTCTTTATCAATGACACAAAAGATAAGGGACTCATTACTAAAATTTACAGAATTCTGCAAAACCTCAATATGAATAGAACAAAATCCACTTAAAGGTGGGCAAGACACAAATAGAAAATTCACAAAGGATAACACTGAAATGACTAACAAACACATGAGGAAATGTTCACAATCACTAGCCATCTGGGAGATGAAAATCTAAACAG